AAAAAAAAACACATTGACGTAAGTTAGACTTTTATAGATAAGACGACGTTTCTTTGAGTTTTTGAATTCGTTTTGTTACGTGAGGAGTGAACGTTCGATGCCACTGCCTCTATATATATAGCAGGCTGTTTTTTTTTTTTTTTTTTTTTTTTAGACTACTTTTATACTGTTGATGTCAACGCGCAGCGCAGCTAATCAGAGTCTGTATATTAATTACTGCCATAATTATGAAACAAAATGTATACTCAATATACCTTTATAAATAAAACACGACCAAAAAATACCACCATTGAGTCTGTTTGCTTCGTCAATTATTATATATTAACGAAATAAATAAATAATAATAATAGAGAAATATTAATCCGCGTATGCGCATGTGGAATTTTAGCGGACGTTGAAGAGAAACGTATGTATGCTTCGAACGACACACCATCCAAGTTGACGTGGAAATATGTATAGCACGCGTTTCTTTCTACCCACCTATAAGATTGCGTGTTGCCAAGTTCCTGTTCAAGATACAGGCGGTTCGCCTTGCCGGAACGCGCCGCGCCCGTGTTACGGCTAACAATAACAACGTCTAGCTCGACTGGCTCGACTTTTAGTTGCATTTTTATTTCTTCACTTTTGTTCGACCCCCCCGTGCTTCCTCGCGCGCGCGCGCGCGCGACGTAATGCGCTCGCATTATCTTTTCCATCTCTTTTTTGTTGTTGATAATCACAGCTTTTCGTGGAATAAAACGCGAGAAACGATGTCTCGTAATATTTCACAACAAATATTCGCGCTCGAATACCTAAATTATATCTTTCCAATTTTAATTGAATAAAACAAACAAAATCAGTGTGTCTTTGTAAAACAAATGTTGGCAATTTATTTTACACAAGTTGATATATTATATTTTTATTTACAAAATCGAAATAAAATATTTGGGACTTTATATAGTTGCGTCACTTCGATCAGAAGAATAGACCAATGTATGTGAGAAAATAAACATATTCCTTTATTAATGTTGCGCAACAAATATGTACATTAAGTGTATCCTACATTTCTTTTAGTATCGTGGGATTCTCGGTTGCAACACACCGTCCAGAACGCGCAAAGGTTACCGAATGAAAGTGCGCTAACCCCATAAAGCACGTAATTGTGCTCGCATTTGTGCAGGAAAATTGCTACGCCAAGGTTTTTACCGGGCGTGTTGCAAACGATAGAAAACTTATTTGAGAATCTCTTGTGCGATTGGTTTTAAATGTTACAAGAACGTTCGCGAAAATCTAAAAATTAGATATAATGATAAAAGACAATATATAACTTTGGAGTATATTTTAAAAACAACAAAAAAATTTTTAATTGCAAATTTATTATTTTTCGTTTTGTTGACTCACATGTTACTTAACTTTTGCTGAACGTGTAGGAGAAACCATCGGGAGTGCGATTGAAGCTGAGCTTTCCCGGCGGGTAAAAATTGCGGGGTGCTGGTGTCGGTATCGCGTTAGGTTGTTGCAACGCAGGTCGTGGCTGATAATACGGTCTTGCAGCAGGCTGCTGCGGAGGTGCGTGCGAGAGCGCATTTAGTTCCGGGGGATGATGATGATAACGCGATTGCGGTCGATACTGGTATTGCGGTTGAGACTGCGGCGGATAAACAGATTGAGGTTCGTATTCCGGTTGATAGCGTCGCGGGTATTGCTGTGCGAGTTGCGGTGCGTAGCTCGGGGGTTGATAATCCGGCGGATTATATCGTGATAGCGGTATGTATTCTGGTTGTGGTGGCGCCTGCGGTGGTGCCGTGGGAATGTGATCTCCGGTCGCCTTTGACACGAGACAAAAATCGATCGTTATGTAATATTTCACATCTATTAAGAATTAAAAAACTGAGTATTTTTTTTTTTATAAATTTTATACAGAGATAACAATATGATTCTAACTGTAGTGGGAAATACATTCATAATTTTTACAAGTTCAGTTTTTCTCTTACAACTAAAATCACTGTATATATATATGTCGCGCAAACTTGTTAAAAAATTGACACGAGACAAAAATCGATCGTTATATAATTTTACATCTATTAAGAATTAAAAAATTGAGTATTTTTTTATAAATTTTATACAGAGATAATATGATTCTAACTATAGTGGGAAACACATTCATAATTTTTACAAGTTCAGTTTTTTTCTTCCAACTAAAATCATTGTATATATATATATATATATATATATGTCGCGCAAACTTATTAAAAAATTTACGTTTCTGACGAAACAATTCTCATTTACCTGAAATCCGTTTTTTCCTGCTGTATACGTTACAGTTCGTCTTTGTCCGGTTGGATCGATATATGAATACGATCCACGTCGATTACCCTCTACGTCGCTCTCTTCTTTAAATTCTACTCCATCTTCTTGAGAATAGGCAGCGCCGAATGTGCCATCACCCGCGAGATATCGAGCGTCACTCAAAATCGCTGCCTGATGCGGCGATCGATAAGGTGCTTGGCAAAAAGCACCAACAATAATACTCCACAAAATAATCTGAGAAAAACAAAAAAATTTTAATATATATATTTTTTCAATTTGATTTTTTTTTATGAATTAAAATATACTTGGATGTTTATACGATATGTAATGTGTAATATTCAATAGTGTATATATATATAACAATATTTTTATCAAATTAAACAATTTGATAAAAATGCAGTCGCAATTTTTGAAACTAGAAACGCGGAGATGGTTACTTGCAAAGAGAACTTACGAATGCGGCGTGCATGATAGAGAAATAATGGAATCGTTAGACAGCGGGAAGCGCAAGAGTAACTCTCGGGAGCTAACGAGAGGGGCGTTTTATACGACGGGTTGGTTCGGGGCAACCGAGGCGAAGAAGGCCTTGATGGCAACTCGCGTGTCATAGACTCGCATCGGTCCATGACACGCCCTGAGAACAATTGCCGCGCACAACCTTATAGTCTTGCACTTTCTCCCGTGATAGCTTAACATTTCTTCTGGAGCAATTCACGAGAACAACATTTGCGTATCTAGTATTGAAAAATTTTTAAGAATCTCAATTTACTATTGTTGTTAATTGTGCGCGCTTTGTAAAACCCGATTACAATATGTTATTTAATTTTGTCTTGTAATGACAAAAAAACCACAAAGTTTTTAAATTGTCAATATAAACAAAAACTTTATATATAAGTCTTCACCGACGTTTATTTTATTCGATTGTCTTCGTTACTCAAATTGGGTCTCCTAATTAAAAAATACAAGCGTGATTTAAAAAAAAGGATTGTTGCAAAATTTTTCAATTTATTTCTGCAACTGCATTAGGTTTTTTTTTAGTTCAGAGGAAATTAGCGGCGCGTTATAGTATATATACACCGAAACTGATTGAAACTGCAGTAGATTATATACCGACGTATCGCGCTGCAGAACTGTTATCGACTTCCAGTGAATTATCGGAAGAATATAAGCAGCGAGGAGATTGTGCGCGAGTTTCAAACATTCTTCGAGGCTGGCGTCGTACGCGTCGATCCTTGAAAACGATTTCGATTCAATCCCCGGGACTCCGCGCATGTGTGTGCACACCACTCATCGTTGGAGGAAAAAATAATTTCCCTTTCATCGGTATAATAGCTATATAAGATCTTCGATTTCCCTTGGCAAATCCGCCAAGTTGTAATCACGGCAAATGAGTTTTGCACTCATTACCTTTATTGCCAAATTGAAATAGCCGGTACAAAACTCCAGGAAAACCATGAGCCGAGTGTACAACATTTGTAATTGCCCCAACGAGCACACAGATATTAATTACCGCGCATACATTACGCTTCCGATTTCCTTAATGATTTCATTTCGTGGCGAAAGCGTGTGCGGCGGATCTCGGCCTCGAAGCTATCAGACATTTTTTTTTCTCTCGACATATTATTTCTACACATCTCGCAATCTCGTGCGTAGAGAGCAAATCGCGCGTACAGCGCGATTATAAAAAAAAAAAAACTTCCCCGCACTGAAGATAAAATATCTCATCGTTTCACTTTTATCGACGACTCTGAAAGAACGTGATTTCTCGCACTCGGATGCGAGTATTAGTCATTCGCCACGTACGAAAGATTCCCCGTCTATCTCTCGTTGCGAGTGTTCATTCAACTCGCTCTCATGCGTGACTCCTCGGTTTGTGGATCTCTCAAACGTCTATAACGCATAAATCAACTTTCCGCGCGAGATCTCCGTTCTGTAGAAATCAAATGTATAAAAGTGAAATAATTTATACGCGGCGATAGAGCCGACAAGCGCGAGTGGATACACATCGAGAGATCGCGTATCGTTCGGGGGATCGTTCGGAAGGAACGGAAGGAAACGCGGCGTTTCTATGTACGCGCGTTTGCGTGCGTGTAGCAACTTTGGTTTCCGCCGTCGTTTCAGACGACGTCGGACGAAGTCTTCGACGTCGATCGGCTTGGGAATAATTGACTTTCTCCGGTCGTTTCCTCCTTTTTTTTGTCAGATCCTTCTTTTTTCTCGTCTTTCTTTACCTTTCGAATCTTATCGCGACTGTGAGCTTTCCTCCGTCTATATATCCTAGCGCTCAGGCCGATGCCCGTTCGGGTCCACGTGTCGCAACACGTTCGCCGTAACTTCGAAAATTGCCGTCAATTTGAGCGCCGAGGAGAGAAAATAAAGGACGAAGACCGCTGCTGGGAACCGCTGCTGCTTTATGAGATTTTTCATAGTTGCATTCACGCCGTTTTCCCGCCCGATATCCCACCCTAATGTCTCCATAATTTTATGCACGTACTCTCAGTATTATTATATTTTCCTTCGGCTACCAATAACAAATTATCGTCGTTTTGAACTGCTTGTTTCCGGGAAGGATTCTTTGGCAATCCGACCGTCGAATAAAAAATGTAATTTCTTAAGAATAAAAAGAACAAAATATACAGAGAAATTTTTTTTATATTAAATTTCTAAAAACATAAATAAAGATTAATATTAAATTAATTATAGTTTTTAATATTAAACTTCTAAAAACATAAATAAAGATTAATGTTAAATTAATTATAATTTTTAATATTAAACTTCTAAAATCATAAATAAAGATTAATATTAAATTAATTATAATTTTTAATATTAAACTTCTAAAAACATAAATAAAGATTAAAATAATAATCTACGTCTTTAATGTGTACACATACATTTAATTAATAAAAATTAAAAAAAAGTTTCATAGACACGTAACAATAAAACAACAGGATATTCTAATTACAAGAATTTAATTAACTTGATACGTCAATGCGTTAAAGGAAGAAAACGCGCGTTCTCGTTTACTCACGAGTACGGTTGCGTTGCATTTGCATCGCGTTTGCAAGTTCGCGAGCGTCATGTGCCGCAATTATCTCGTCATTCGAACGGTTTTCTTTTCGAGCTGCAATAAAATCAGCGCGGTCTGATATTTTGCGAAATTTATAGATCTGAGAGAGCTAAGAAGAAAAGGCTTTTTTTTTTTAGCTTCCGTTTTTTCTTTAGCTCTTAATTTCGTCCGGTTTGACGGAGCGCTATGACTTGCTAATGACGCAGATCGGTATAGTGTTTTAGAGCATTACCGATCGTTTGCACGTCGTAAATTTACTCACATGCAACGCACATAGCGCTTACGACACTACTCCGCTGGAAATGGTCCAGTTCACCTCGACTATCCAGGAAGATCCGCTTTGTTCCGAGCTAAATTCTCGCGCGCGCCAAGAAGTTTTTTTTTTTTTTTATTTTATGTTCAAGTTCCGGTTTAAAAACGCAAATAAAAAGAAATATTTTTTGTGTCATAATTATTTACTCCGACAATTAATTTGCAATAATATCTTTCAAAATATTCAAAATTTTATTTAGTTTTTTATTACTGTATTTTTTTTATAGTTTATTTACTTATCTCTCTTCTTTCTTACTGCCGTGACATCGTACATTCTCGCTTTAATTAAACGACTTAATCGTTATACTGTTCACATAAGAACTATGTATATATGTTTGACGAAAGGCGCTGTTTCTTTTTCTCCTCGATACAATCTCAGGTAATCCCATACTGCGTTATAGATCGCAATGATAATTATTATATGAACATTTGCTGCTGCAGCACTTTCTTTCTCAACGTCGTTATTCCTCATTTGGGACATTTTTAAGTGCACACAGACTCTAACGGCTCGCTTTAGCGTGTGTTGAAACGCGGGATTTAGCTAAAACACACCTCATCTCTCAATGTTTCTTGTTACGCCACATTATAGCCTCGTTAAAATCCTCAGAATCGCATGGAAACCTGAACGGGTTTCACAACAGTTCCTGAAACCTGAAAAAATCGTTTCGAGGAACATGTAGCCGTCAATGTAACGCAACCCTCGATTTCGATCTTCTCTGTTTTAAAAATTCATTCCTTTTGTACAATACGCGCTATACTCAACATACATTCGCAATCTGATAAAGAAAAGAGATTCAGTCTTTAAACGTGTAAACATTTTTTTTCAGTTGCATTATCTTAAATTATTTTTTTTTTTACATAAAAACTAGAAATTATCAAACAATATAAAATGCAGCGATATAGCTTTCCGACGTAAATTAATAAAAAATATTTTTTCAATATTTTGTCGCAAATAAAAAGAAAAAAAAAGTTTGTTTGTAAGTCTTTTTAAATTATTGTCATTTTCTATGAGTTTTTAACTTTTAATTATTTTTGTAGATTTATATTGAAAAAGGCCTAATTCGAAGGCCGAAAACGTTATATTGTTTTAATTTACTCAAATAAAGTTACACATTACTTACACATCATCAGCAGTGTTTTTGCTTCAAACATAGTCATTGTCAATGACTTAACATTATTTAATTTTTTAAAGAAAAAAATTTCGCAAGGAATGGTTTCTGGAAAATACTTTGATTTCAGAGCGATTTTAAAAACATGATATTACGCACGGAGAGACACGTTTCTTTGCGAATGAGTGATAATATATCCTCGAGGGATGGAAGTGGAAGGGGGGCTTCTCCGCCAAGGAGTTTTACCTGAAGCGGAATTGCTCTAAAAGTAGGTAGCCACCGACCCGCGTACCCGCGCCGCCAATTACGAGACGGGGCGACGACGACTATATAGAAGAGCCACGCCGACTCCGCCGGCTGATTTCTGCGAGTAAACTCAACGCGACCATCTGTGCACATCTCTTTCTCTCCACATCATGAAACTGGCAGTGAGTGCTTCAAGGATTTAAATTAATTTGTTTGCATTATTGTTAAACATAGCAATCACAATTTGTTTGTTGTGCATTAAGAAAAAGTTTTTACTTTAAGTGACGATGTGTAATTGTTAAGGGTGGATTGTGTGTTCGTCAGCTTTTCGAATTATCGGCTGGGATCATTGGTGATCACGATTATTTCGATACGAACACGAGTCTTGAAGAATTGATTTTGACAGAGTTAATCAAGTTTTGATATTCAATTATTTTTTTTTTTGATGTAAATGAGAATTTTCGGATATTTTAATTTTTGTTTGTGGTACACAATTATTTTACAACACTTGTTAAAGTTACAAATTGTATTTATTTTACAACACCTGCTAAAGTCACAAAAATCGTAAATTTTTGCAGATCCTTTTTATTGCGGTGGCGTCGACCGCGTGGGCGCAGACGCAGAAAAATGTCGAAAGGCCCATTCGCGCGCCGCAGAGACAAATCAAGTACAGCGAACTTGACGGTAAGAGACCAATGTGTTTTTCTTATTCTCTTTCCTATTTTTTTTTTTAACATACTTTGTGAGAACCTTGGCCTCAATTTATCGCAATTAACATTTACTTTGTTGCTGTCTCAAGTCACGCGATAGTCTCGATTTTCACATCTCCAACGGAACAATCGCTTTGTAATCGCCATCTGAGGTCGGCGTTGCATAAATCAACTGATAAATCAACAACAAGCGCTATTATAATCCCGATGGCGGTGACAGAGCTTTTTTTTTTTCTCGCTTTGTTTGCAGGCTCGAAGGTCAACTGGCGATACGTCGCGCCCCAAACTCAATGGCGATCGCAACGTGCCGAAGGCGGCTCGTCTCTTCGTCTTCGACAAACTCAGCAGGAGGCACCGCAGCAGCATCGCACTCCGGCGCCACAACCCCAACAACAACAGGTCCAGCAGCTCCAGCCGATCTCGCCTCAACAATTCTACAGGCCGTACTCATCGGTGCCGACTCACATTAAACAGCTAATTGAGACGACCTACCAGTCACAGGCACCCTACGTCGATCCCTCGTCTTTCCTCTATAATACAAACTATGTGGCGCCGGAACAATACCAGCAACAACAGCAACCGGCTCAAGCCGCTTCTGAACTTCCTTATTCCGCTTACCTGCGTCCTTCCGAAAGATATCAGTCAATCGATCCTCAGGCAGCTCAATCCGCATACAACGAATACAACGAGAGAAGAGTCGAACGTCAAGACAGAATTCTGTACAGGGATAACTATGAGCAACAACAGCAACAACAGCAACAACAGGAACAACAACAGCAACAACAGCAACAACAACCGATTTATCAGATCGCAAGATCGCCTCTAGCAGCCGTACCCGAACCTCCGGCACCAGTTTTGTATCTGGACAAGAATATGCCTTCGGAGATCAAGCAACTGTTGCAGTATCAGGCGCAGATACCGTATGACGTTACCGCAAATCGCATTCAGTACACGCCAAAGAACGTCTTTATTCCACAACCGCTGTCCGACGACGTCAAGGGACCTTATTATTATCGCAGCAAAGTTTACTACGCAAACGACAATGTTGAGCCGAAATATTCGCAAGACAAGCCGGTCGAGGAGGATCGTCAATGATCCAAAACAATTTTTTTTATTGTGAAATCTTCGATTTACGATCGGTTAATAATTTTTATTAATTTAAACGCGATAAATTTTCTTCGAAAGAAGAAACAACTCTGGTTAGCTCTGGAATTTCGAGTTGAAATCCATTTCTATATATTCGCGGAAATGTCTTTCAGCGACTCATCGAGAGTTTTTTTTTGTTTAATTAAAACCGCGCATTTAAATTATTGCATCGCTTGTTGATTACTTTAGTAATGTAACGACTCGCACTACCGTGTATTCGACTAGCAACTTTGTTACAATGTTTTTCTTATTGACAAGCGGAAACAGATAAACGACATTTTATTACCAACACAATGATTAGAACAAACTTAGTGTTAGAAATATAGTCTAATAATGTAGAATATAGTTTGTTAGAAAGAAAGTTTGCGCGATAGAAGAAGAAAATGAATAGAATGAAAAATCGATCTACAACAAGTATTTAAAGCAAAATTAATGAACACTTATGTTTAAGAACACCAATCGTTTCTTCCTGGTTGATTTCTTTTTTCGATCGAGTGTTTTCTTTATTTTATACGTACTTATGAAACTATATATTCGACGATGTGGTTGCAACGTAATGGAATGTTTATTTTGACAGCGCAAAGAAATAGAATTTTTTTTGTACGAAATAAATAAATCACTTCCGCTTCTGGCATCACGAAAGTCATTCACCCCCGGTCCCTGCGCAATCTTCGCTTTTATTTATTTCAGCTCGCGAAATGACTGACGGCGGCACACCTTCCGCCTCGTAAAAAGCTGAGCTCAGAAACGCGAAAAGTCCGACAAAAAAAGCAGTCGGAGCCGTTAGAATTTACACCTTTCAGGAAGTTCGCGCGTGATTTGCTTAATTACACTTATGAGAATGGTTACTTTGCTCCCACAATATATTGGAGCAAATAGAAAGTGTTCGGGAGACAGTTTTTAGCTTTCTATAGCGAATAAAGATATCCGATCTCCTCTCTCGTGATGTTAGAAAGTCATATTCCGTCCCAAGGATAGATCATGATTTAATGTTTAACAAGAAGAGCACGCTCGAGACATATAAAGTTTATATACGAAGTAGAAAGTAAATTGTCACGACACACGACACACATCGCAAGAAGTTTCTTATCGGACACGCGGAGTGTTTTTATAAATTACTGCAAAAAATGTATATTATGAATATCTGACAAGAGAAGAGAAAAAAATATCAAATACATGACAGATTTGTAACACGTGAGTATCTTATTGGAAGAAATTTATGCGATTTTGATTGGAACGCTTCTTATCAGTCGCATATTAATAATGCGTAACGTAAAAACTTGTAGCGCTTTAATTACATTAAAAATGTAATCAAGTGGATTTCGTGCACCGAAAAAATTGTATTCTTGTTTTGAAGATATCCCACTTACTTTAAGTATATTTTATACTAAAAATAGGCGCCAAGAAGAGTTTCTTATTTTAAGAGGAAAATCTTCTAAATAGTAATATCGATAAAGAATATATACTGATTAGAATATAAAAAGCTTCTATAAAAAAACATATATATCTCACTATCGAAAAAGACTATATTCTTAAATTAAGAATATATTCTTAAATAAAGAATATATTCTTAATTTCAGAAGAATATCATCTAAAATCTTTAAGAAGATTTTTTAACTATAAAATCTTCTACTTATAAGAATATAATTTTTTCGGTGTGGTTATCGATACGTAACGAGAACACGTGCGCGTAACGCATCCGAAAAAAAAGTGTGTATTGTTTTTGAAATTTTACGTAAAGGAAACACCCAGCATTTCTCCGGAAACACGCGGACTTATAATCCACTTTCGTGGCCTTCACGCTTCGCGTATCGATGCACCCGTCGAAGCGTAAAATGTAGAATTGTGTGAACGTAGTCACGTTTTTTTTTTTTTTTTTTCACAAACTGCAACTTTCATTTTTATTTTTTATCTGCGTGCTTGTAAAAAAAGTAAGTATAAATAAAAAACATACACAAAATTTATTTATTTTTCAGTTTTCTTTTTCGTGCCTGTTACACTTTATGTTTAAGTGGAAAAAATTATTTTATTTTTTCTTAATCGCACATATCACATATTTGCGAATATCTTTATCTCTTTGTTTGTTCTTTAAATGCAGTTACCTACGAAATATATCTAAACGGTTTCTAAAGCTTATGCGTTTTCTTAGCGAATTATCCTATAAATACTGTGTACGTTTCACATTCGATGTTTATTGTTTCTTATATCAAATTGTGTCGTAGGAATTGTTTTCATATCGTCAATGCACAAGTCTCAAGATAATTTATGAATTCATAGGAGATCGGCGATCTCTGTCTTCGATGTAATGCGACACGGTGTAACTTTCTACTATGAAAATGACGTAACGACATTTCCACTTGTATGTGAGTAAGAGCAACTCTTTGCAGTCGAATAATTGAATAGAAGAGAAGCACGCTCTTTCTCTCTCATGACTGCGTATCTAAAGTAAAAATCTAGAATAATTAACAATAAAATCTGATTGATTTAACAATACGGAGAATTTCAGAGCTCTATTTATCAAAGAGTGGAAACGTGTAATTCTGAAGATCCGAAGCATTGAGAATAATAGATATAAGTTTACAATATATCTTTTGATGAAAAATCACATATGTTACATCGAGAAATAATTTCTCTTACTTCTTTAATTACTTTATGTAATTACTCGTCTGATGGACGTACAATGCAATAAAAAAAAAAAAAAAACGAATTTCCCACATTTCTGAGTTGAGAGATTCGTATTTTTCTTCGTGTGGTTTCGTAATATCTTTAATATTTAAATTTTAGCAAGCAATGGAGTATAACACGCGCCTTTACGTAACTCAACGAGACAATAATTGAATTCAATCTCGGCAATTAATTGCGGATGCGCGCAAGTTTTCGCACCGTAACCTTTGAATGGCAACTGCCTGGGAAACTCTTGACGTCGTGTGTTGCATTCCATCGCGCAGGTACAGTACGACCGTTTTCCACCGATGCACGCTCCGAGACTTTTCACGATTGTAATGCATCGCGCAGAAGATGAATGTCTCAAGCCTTTCCTTCGCGCGTATTGCGCGAAGAAAGCTTGACAAGCCTGACCAAGCGAAACTTTGTGAGCTGCATTTGTAAGCGAGCGCGCTCTTTGCATAAACTAAAAGTTTTATAAGTAAAGTGATTTAGACTTTTTATTTTGTATACTAAAAGTTAAAAAAAAAAAAGAAAAATATTGTCAAGAATATTACACCGAAAAAATTATATT